TTTTTTTTTTTTTGCCACTATTGCTTAAATTTGTAATGTCAATCAAAGGAATAATTACTATCCATTTCAGTGTCTTCCTCGGAATTGCTCAGCTAAGTATTTTTACACAATAGGAAGCCAAATATTCATTTCATTTTTGTTGATTCTAAATTGCACATTTTCCCACATTTTTAACATAAGTGAAAGTGAAATGTATCTGTGCTATAGTTACATCGTACTTTAATTGGAAAATTTTTCTTTCTTGGTGGTATATTAATCATGGTATTAAAGACATAAATCATGCTTTTAATATTTCTGACATTTGAGTCTATAATATATGATATTAAAGAAAACTTTTTTGTACTGTACCTTTTCATATTTCATAATCATGGTACACCACATACTTTTACATGTGGCTTGAAATTGTCAGCTTAGAGATTGTTGTACATATAAAATTAACTCAGAGTGGAAATAGGAATTTGGTTAGTAAAAATTATAACACTATTCATAAAGCTGTTATATTGATTAATGTTCCCAAATGCTGTTAAAATTTGCTTCCACAATATCTAGTTTGTATCCAACTGTGCAGTAGAATGACAAAATTTCTATTTTTTAAAAAAGAAGATTCTTTTATGGTTTAGATAAGACACATGAGAATATTGAATTAGAAGAGTCATCTAACAGCACATTTCTTAAAATGAAATGTATATAAGAATATTTAAAAAAATAGATTCCATCACGTATTTTCAACAGAAATGTTAAAACAGATTTATATATGTCAATAGCAAATACCATAGTTGAAAGTATTATTTAAAGGAAAATCTATTCAATCGACAGAGAAAATGTGACATACCTACTATCTCGAATATTTCATTGTTGTTTAGATATAGTTCTGTCAGACAATAGTTTCTAGTTAGAAATGTTATCCCTTGGAGCTGAAAATAGGAGTTAGAAAACAATAAACCTTCTACAATGATTATATGTATGTTATACATATATCTTAAATAAGACCTTAGAATTTCAAACTTTGTGGCTATTATTATTTGTGACCCTTTGGTGTGAGCTATAAGTTACATCTGGATTGTCTTTGAGGACAAGGGGATGAAAAAGATGCTTTTAGGTAGTTTAAACCTTTCTTATCACATCTCGGCCACACTCTCTCGTGGTTTCAAAGCTTCTCTAATGTGGCCCTGCCCTTTTGTTCTTACACTGTGCAACAGTATTTTTCCCAGTTCTGCACCCTACAGTCTCATTGGATCTGGCTCTACATATCCATTAATTCCCCATCAAATATTAAGAGCCTACGCTGTGCCAAGGGCTCTCTCCTCAGATAAAGCTAAGGCCATGTCTGCATGTGTGTATGCAGAGTCATGATCTCCTGTTGCCTGTCTTTTCTTCCTGGTGCATTTCTGGTTATTCTTAAGGATCAGCCCAAGGCCGGCAAGGCATACCAAACTGCGCACGCGTGGACGTTGTCACACTTCTGGAGATTTGTTGACACCATTATTGGATCTCCTCTCTACTGGCTTCTTCCTCTGTTTTGTCCCAATTTTTGTTTCTCTAAACTTACACCTGCTCCACCACTTCCAGTGAGATCTCCCGAATGAAGCTCTAATTCTGAACTCTCTTTACGCCCCAGTCTATAAACCATCTCCTCTTCTCTGGCTCATTGTCCTGGCAAACAGCTCTCCTCAGGTTAGCCCAGGACTCTATAACCTGAATGGACGGACACAGGAGGCTCCTTGGCCAGGTCAGGCCCAGAGCTAACAGCTTAACCGGCCCCATCCCCAACTAGAGGGCAAGGCACAGAACAACAAGTTCATCGGTTTTAACGAGGCCTTTCCTGACAACTGTTCTCATGAACCTCCATTTTCTTGACTACTTCAACACTTAGTTTGACTTGTACAATTAACCACTTGATCACTAGAATTTTGCGTCTTCCTTAAGGAAAGGAGCAATATTTCTCCACTACCTTGTCACTTCCACTTCTGCACTCTCTCCTAACAGCATGGTGAAGTTGCATCTTACTTTTAAGATTAGATTCAAACTTCAGTGTGCATGAATTAGAAATAGTCAAAAGTACTCTCTTGAAAATTCCTCAAATGGACCACCAAGTACTATATTCAATGTTAAACTGTATGTCAGAAATCTTTCTGTTACTTGGCAAGGAGAACCCCATTTTTAAAAAAAAAAGTTGACTCTATAACCTCAATAAATTTTAATAGATTTGTTTGAATTGTGAGGATGGGACATGGCAAGTACTATATTCAATGTTAAACTGTATGTCAGAAATCTGTTACTTGGCAAGGAGAACCCCATTTTTAAAAAAAATGTTGACTCTATAACCTCAATAAATTTTAATAGATTTGTTTGAATTGTGAGGATGGGACATGGTAGAACCATGAAGGAAGGGCTGGTATGTTCTAAGAGCAGCAGGTAAATTAAATATAAGAATATAGGATCTAGCAGGAAGTAGATTCTCATGAAATAGTTATTGATCTATTTAGTGCTTTGTATATACAGAAATATATGCTCATGATTATAAATTCTTTTTTGTGTGTGTTTTCTAAAACTTATCATAGGAACTATTATCATTATTAGTTAAATAGAACCGTTGGATCCTTTGATGAATACGTTCAGATAAATAGACGCCAGTCTATCTGACAGACCGGTAAGGGGATCTTAACCCCTGACTTGGTGTTGTCAGCACCACGCTCAGCCAGTGAGACGTTCAGATAAATAGACGCCAGTCTATCTGACAGTGAGGATTTATTGGAAATTTTACTCATGCCCCTCTCTTATCTCAGAAAAGCCATTTTAGATTTGTATCTAGTTTGAAAACTGGTTTCTTTGATACATTTTCTTTAATTTCTTCTTCTATTAACAACATTTACCAATTTTGAAGCTATATAGGGCATGTGTGCTGTTCACCTTCTCATTTATCCACCTGTCCACACTCCTGCGGGAGGAGAACCATATCAAACACTCTCATGCAGCTTCTGTTAAGTCATGAGAGAAACCATGCTGCCCCCCAGGTGGGAAAACCATTCCAAGCAGGAAGATAAGGGTCCTCATTGGCTTCCTATCCCTTTCTCCTTTTCCTACTGGCCTCCTGGCAGCAATTCACTGCTTCTGCTCTTCCTCTGACTGCTCCCAGCTCTAATAATAGCCACACTTGACATCGGCATAGGAAAAGAACACCAGTGGAAAGCGTGACTTTTTCTTCTTTCCTTTTCCATTTACTTGCCCAGCCACACGTAAACAGAACATGACTAATTAGTTGAGGCTTTAATTTCTCTTGCATTACTCAGTAACACAAGAAGAATACTAGTAAGCTCAACAGTTTCATCTTGATTGTAGAATCGTAGTTTCCCAAGAGTGTTAACATCCTGGACTGTGATTATTGGGATATGAGGTTTGTACTGTTTGTTGAGGTGAGGGGGTGAGGGGAGGTAGGGTGGAAAGACATAAAGCCAGTTATGAGCACCTTGGGGAACTAGTAAAAGATTTTTGTGGAGGAGTGTTATTGCCCAATTTGATTTTAGAAATAAAATGGCAGGGTAGAACACAGTTTAGAGGAGATAGTAAGTATAACAGCAGGAGATGAATAAGGAGGGTGTTACCCTAATTCAGAAGAAAATATGGTGACCCAAAGTAGAATAACGGTGGCGGGAGAAGAAAGAAGTAGAAGGGAATTGAGAGACAGTTCCAAGGTAGAATTCACAGGACTTAATAGACATTGCAATATAGCACGTTATTAAAGTCAAGAACAGGAATTAGAAGAAATGCTGATAGTCAAGCCATTATTAAAGTGAAATGTTACTATAATCATCCAGTTAGAAAAATCTATACTATTGATTCTCAAGATTGTAAGATTTATATTTAATTTGACATTTCACAAATTATATGTATATCTTAGCTTGAGGCTTGGCATATAACAAGTGCTCAATGAATGATTATTTATTACTTAGCCATTATTTTAATTTTATAGGGCTGGGAGCTCTTACATTTAATGTGAAGCACTTACAGGTAATCACTGAGGTACTACTAGGGAAAAATGTATACCATCAGGAATTTAACATTAAGGAGGCATTCTTTCAGAGCAGGGCTTTACAACTTCTACTACTATCAACATATTGGACCAGATAATTCTTCGTTGGGGTTCTGGGGGTGGAGGCTGCCCTGGGCATTGTAGTATGTTTAGCAGCATCCCTGGCTTCGATCCACTAGATGTCAGTAGCACACACACCCCAGTTGTGAAAATCAAAAATGTCCCTAGACATTGCCATTTGCCCCCTATGGGGCAAAGTTGCTCCCAGTTAAGAAATGATGATTTAGGGTTGAGAGAAGAAAAAATAGTTGTATGTTCTCATTGTGAGCTGGGCATTAAGCGAGGTGCTTTCATAAATGTTATCTAATATGATCATTACAAAAGCCCCATGCTTTTTATTTTATCCCCAGTTTACCAAGGAGGAAACTGAGGCTCAGAGAAGTTAAACAACTTTCTCAAGGTCCAGAGATCATAAGTAGCAGAGTGAGATTTCAAACCCAAGTTTGTCTGACTCCCAAACCAAAAATTAATATATATTACACCATAATTTGGCTCTTTAATTTGAGGAACATCTATATAAACCATCCAGAAATCAGTAACTTGAAACTATTTTGAAATAAATCAGTATATTAGATTGAGTGATGGAAAATATTCCATAAATTATTTTCTAGTATTTTGGAAATACCCCAAAACATGTCTAAAATGGGTCTAAAAATATTTGACCTGAATTGGAAATAGAAAGAAGAGAAATATAATAATCTCTTCTCTTCCCATACCTGCCAGCCACCAAAGTAAAAAAAAAAATCTCAGAACACTTATGCTATGGTTTGAATTTCCCCTCTGAAAATTATGTTGAAATTTATTTGTCATTGTCACAGTAGTAAGAGGTGAGATTTTTAAGAGGTGATTGGGTCATGTGGGCTCTGCTCTTATAAATGGAGTAATG